TCTAGAGCTCAAATAAACATATAGCTTACCGTATGTAAAAGCACAACCCCGAGACTCACATGATCCCGGAACAACATGCAAATGATGGTGTTTTTCGGTGAAGTATTTTTCCCCATAATAATTATTTAATTAATTCTAGATGCTACAACGTTTCATAAGTTTCATAAGAGACAGAAAAGTGATAAATTATAAATAAAAGATTTGATTCATAACCCATTCGAACTGCGATCAAACGACATTATTGATGGCAACGAAACAAAAATTAGGCATAGTATTTTGAAACATTTTGCTGTTATTTTGTCGTACAGCCATTTTTTATATTTTTAAAATTTGACCAAAATGTAATCACGAACTAAACTACTGTTAGTTATCATTATCGTTAAGAATAACATGAAATTTTGCAATTTACAGGTTTTTAATCTTTTTTCGTAATTGTAAACCTTACAATTTAATGTACCAACTTATATGTCTTTCAAGCTTTACAAAATGGTTTGGAAAGAAATTGCATAATTTTATGTTTTCAGAGTCAAAAATGGGAATCCTATTTTTACTCACCATATTACCCACTATGATATACCCATATATTTTTAACCTATAAACCCCTGTTCCATAGTCCGATCATGCTCGTTTGCGTACAAAATATAATAATTTTTACACGAGTTATCATGCTAACGGACATATATGAATTGGAACGGATGGTGGTCCCAGGGCTAGGGACTTGCCATGAGACATCCAATTCCCCATATGGGGAAGTGAATAAAAAATAAAAACAAACTTTTTAAAAACTTTTTACGAACAAGTAATTTTGTACTATTTGAAATTCTTGAGAAACGACTGAGAAATGAATAAAATTCACCATTAATATAATTAAAGTATATTCAAACTGTAACTCCATGAACAAATAAACTACAGTAGGCCTATTATCTAACTAAACTATGGCATTACTGCTGCTATGTAGTTTACAATAATTCAGCTTACGCAGACTAATCTTTAAAAGTGTCTTCATTAAATAACTTTCTCGGCTAAATTATACTAGACAGATTACCTTGTGTTTTTTGCCAACAGATAAAGTTTTATGGTGATGAAAAGAACTGGAAATTTGAACGTAATATTATTAGTACAAGTCCTTAAAATAATTGAGTCAATGAAAATCAGCAAATTGTCAGCAAATCAAATCAAAATCGGTTTTACTTGAAAGAAATACATGTATACAATTTATCGGTTCGTATTCAAACCGATACTAGTTTTTTGGTATGGTAAATCCTAGTTCATAGCATGCTGTTCTGGGAAGTAAATCTGCAATCACATTATTAGAAGTTTTTGAGGAGACTGTAGGAAAACGACGGAACATATTTCACGAAGATAAATAGAATAGTTTGATTTGACATGTGAAAAAATGCAAACAAAACATTCGATCACCTATTTTGAGCTTATCTTAGTCAAAATCTGATGGAAATTGATATTTAGATATAGTGATAATCTGTCAGTCAGTGTTATTTGCCTTTTATATGTAAAGATTGAACCATAGATAAAAGGAGCATAGACAAAAGTATAGAGTATAGATAAAAGGAGTATGTCTACTTCTTTTAATCTATGAATGAGCACAAGATTGAACTACGAAAAAAATAGTCCCGTATAAGGCCATACAACATCTCTCAGCAGGGTTAGAGGTTAGAGTGACAGTTTAAGATTGTTTTTGTAATCAGTGTAAACAATGTATGTACATATTTATACACGGTTTTGTGATATTGGTATAACACATACATATATGGATAGTTATTGTGTATTCGCGAAATATTGTGTTCCCTAAAGTTTGTTTATTTTTAAAATAACGTGTTTTCCTTGAAACAAATTTTTGTTTTGTCTCAATAATTTAATGGAAAAATATTTAAAGGTAACTATAATACTACTATTTTAGCAATATTAACCTTTTGTCGCCGAACTAGAGCAATCGTTCTATATCCGCGTTTTCTTGCTAACATAGAAATATATAGAATTCCATCAGCTGTCCAGAGGTTTCCCATGTGTGAGGATTCCACATCCAGTCACAATCGCATCCTTTGTCCACTTTCAATCACAAGCAATGTATTGGCTCAACGATATACGCAGCGACTTGATGTTTTTCGATAAACTCAGCTTTACAAGGTTACATATTTTCTGCAATATAAAACAAATAATAAAACCCAGCAATCAATTATGTCTAGGCTAATGCTATTCTTATATTTTTTCTTAGAGACTGAAACTTGGTACGTAGCAGTTTATCTGCTCCACTTTGATATGATTAGTCTATGTTACAAAACTTCGAAAAATTAGATAACGCGACAAAGTCTAAAGTCAAGTTTTTGTGGCTCAAGTTTTCTAGTTTAGGGACTTGTTCAAGGGCTTAACACTATTCTGTAAATCTTTTTCACCAGAGGAGCGAACACAGTTATAACAAAACACAACACTATGGGTATATAATACACAAATAAAAAATATAAAATTCTCTATCCTCGTTAACTAAAAACTATTGTAGTAGCTAATAAGGAGTTGTCATCAACATATGATTTCTTAACACACATGGTTTATGTTATTGTTTCTATTGTTTATGTTTGTGTTTATATATTTTTCATTCAGTTAAAATAGTTGAATAAAATGGGTTGTACATTCTCTTGCATCTTGTTATTATATAATTTAAGGACTTGATAACTGGCGACGAGGAAAACCAAAATGGAGTCAACTAACATTACAAGTTACAAAAGGATTAGAAAATCAATCAAGGCACAATTTACTAAATTAACAAACAAGCTGAACAATCAGGAAATTGGTCCTGGGCAAGTTGACGAACGTCTAGAACTTCTGGACTCAACATGGACTAAATTTCTTGAAGTACAAGAGAACATAGAACTAATAATAAACGACACAGACCTGGATGAAGAAGTAAATTACAAGATGGACATTGAAGAAGTATTCATTAAGTTGAAGATTATGTTGAGGCAGTTGAAACCTATTTCACTTTCGAATTCAACTCAAGAAATCAATGGTAATGCAAACAACTCTACTGGCAATACACACAGCTTCAACATTCCATATTTCATTTGTACCTTACAGTGAAGATGAATCTTTTGACAATTTTACAAAAAGACTTGAAGTATTTATGCACCTGAAACACATATCAGACGAAACTACAAAGACATTCACCCTACTTAATGCCCTACCTCCCACGTTACATCAAAAGCTCTACAACATTTGTACACCTGAAACGCCACTTCAGAAAGATTATGATGACCTTATAGCTTTACTAAAGCAATACTTGGATCCTCAACCAAGCGTTTGGGCACGGCAACATAATTTTATAGTACGAGAGCAAATGGTAGGTGAATCCGTTACAGATTTTACAGTTGAACTAAAGAAACTTGTTACTCCTTGTGAATTCAAATGTTCTTGTGGAAAGTCTACAGCTGAAACTATGCTACGTTTACAGTTCATCAGAGGATTGCGAGATGCTGAGATTAGAACGAAACTACTACAAGTAGAATCAGACAAGACCTTCCAGGAAGTCATAAATACTGCTAAGATAATGGAACTATCTAAAACTGAAAATACGATGATTACATCTTCACAACATAAAGCCGAAATTAATCAAGTGATCTCAAATACTACTAATAAACAATTCAATACAAACAGCGAAATGAGAATTAAATCTACAGGACACAACAACAGTTCATTCACATTCCAATCACTTAAGGGGAAGTGTTACAGATGCGGTGACGAAAAGCATAAAGCTAACAAATGTAAATTTACTGAACACTGGTGTAGAAAATGTGGAAAGATGGGTCACATCGCTCGAGTGTGTCTGAGCGAGAATTCCATGGCAAAATTTAAGAACTTGAGAAACACATGTCAAGCTGATGTCTTAGTTGAAGAAGATGAGTCTTATGAAATGAACTTAATAACTTCAAAAAACTCAGATAAGTTTAATTTGGAGGTGAACATTGAGGGAAATGAAATTACAATGGAACTAGATACTGGGGCCGCATTGAGCACCATATCTTACAAGGATTACATGAATCTAGGATTGAACAAATCCATTCACAAAACGAAAGTGGAACTTCGTACTTATACTGGGGAGGTTTTCGAGCCTGTTGGATATGTATTTGTGAAATGCACGTACAAAAATCACAATTTCATTGGTAAACTATACGTGATCAACCGGAATGTCGATCCTATCTTTGGACGTGATTGGATAAGGGAAGTTAAACTAGATTGGGCTGACATTAGGAGTATTACAAGTTCTTACATGCATGCAGATATCGATAGACTGATTGAGAATTACAAGGATGTATTTGAACAAAATATTGGTGTTATTCCCGAGGTAGAAGGTCATATACAACTACTTGAAGATGCCAAACCGGTTTACATGAAACCTCGTTTAGTGCCATATGCTTTAAGACCTAAAGTTGAAGAAGAACTGGACAGATTGGAAAAAAATAGGAATCATCTCGAAGGTCGAACAAAGTGATTGGGGAACTCCAATTGTTCCAGTCGTGAAACCCAGCGGCAAGATCAGAATCTGTGCAGATTTCAAAGTGACTTTAAATAAACAAATTAAGGACATCAAATACCCTATTCCACGTATAGAGGACATTTTTGCAAAAATGAGTGGTGGTAAGTACTTTTGTACACTAGACATTAGTAACGCTTATTTACACATGGCAATGGACCAAGAAAGTGCGCTACTTCAAACAATCAGTACACATAAAGGACAATATAAGGTAAATCGACTCATGTTCGGAATCAAGACGGCTCCGGCTCTATGGCAAGGGTTTATGGACAAAATACTTTCTGGAATTGATGGCGTTCAGTGTTTTTTTGACGATATTATTATTCAAGGTTCGACTGAGTCTGAAGCCCTAACAAGGCTAGAAAGTGTTTTGAAAGTCATCAGGAGACACAACCTCAAACTAAATAAAGACAAATGTAAGTTTTTTCAAACACAAATCGATTACCTTGGACATACTATGGATCAAAATGGTCTACACAAGAACAAGGACAAAGTGGAAGCAATCTTAAAATCACCAAAACCGTCAAATGTGTCAGAGCTACGAACATTCCTGGGCTTGACTAATTACTACCAGAAATTTATTCCCAATTTGAACACAATCTTGAATCCACTACACAATCTATTAAAGGCACACACTAAGTTCGTTTGGACCAGAGAATGTGATAAATGCGTTGAAAAAGTTAAGGCTGAGATAGCTAGTGACCGGGTCCTTGCTCATTTTGATGAAAATGAAACCTTAGTACTAGCCACGGACGCTTCTCCAGTCGGATTAGGAATTGTTCTTTCTCACCGCTACAAAGATGGTACTGAACGGCCAATTTCATTCGCTTCTCGATCTCTCACTGCAAGTGAGAAAAAGTACAGTCAGATAGACAAAGAGGCACTGGCGATTTACTGGGGATTGAAGAAGTTCTACCATTATTGTTATGGCAGAAAGTTTATCCTTGTAACAGATCATAAGCCACTTGTTTCAATCTTTGACCCATACAGAACCTTACCTACTATGACTGCCACACGTATTTTCAATTACGCTCACTTCCTCTCTGGCTTTGATTATACTATTGAATATAGGAACACCAAATCACATGGTAATGCAGACTACATGTCTCGTTTTCCTAATGAGCATCCACCGACAAATCAAATCGATCAACACGAAGCCTTTTTCATTAATCAAATTGAATCAATGCCTGTAACACATGAAAATATTGCAAATGAAACATCAAACGACGATGAGCTAAAACCTCTTTTGAAAGCACTTCAAGATGGCACGGATTTAGAACATATTGGCTTGAAGAATAATGAGTATTCACTTCATGATGGCTGCATTTTTCGTGGTTCCAGAGTAGTAATTCCTGAAAAACTACAAGGAAAAGTACTCAATGAACTTCATCTAGGACACTTAGGAGTTGTGAAAATGAAAAATCTTGCAAGAAGTTTTTGTTACTGGAAACACATTGACCGTAACATAGAAGATCTAGCAAAGTCTTGTCGTCCATGCTGTTTGAAGCAGAATCTTCCTGAAAAAGTAGATGTCCATCCTTGGCTGGTTCCATCAGGACCTTGGCAACGAATACACATCGACTTTGCAGGTCCAATTTATGGGCAATACCTTTTTGTTATCGTTGATGCCTATTCAAAGTGGGTTGAAGTCATACCAACCAAAACTACAACATCTAATTGGTGCATTCAACAGCTCAGGAAACTCTTCTCCACCTTTGGTTACCCGTTCACGTTAGTCTCTGACAATGGCCCTAACTTCACATCATCTATTTTCAACCAATTTCTACAAGCTTGTGGCGTCACACACAAATTCTCTGCCCCCTATCACCCTGCAACCAACGGACAGGCAGAGAGATTTGTTCAGACTGTAAAGAAACAGTTAATAGCAATGGAGAATGATGGAGGAGATTTGCACTTCAAAATAAATCACATCCTAATGTCACTAAGGAATGCCACAAATGCTACAGGGTCCTCGGCATATGAACTTATGTTTGGGAGACGGATAAGGACAAGGCTGGATCTTATGAAGAAACCCCAAGATCACACAGAAATGCCCGACGGATGTACTAAAATCAAAAGAGAGTTCCGGGTGGGGGACAGGGTTCAGGTGCGCAATTTCGGAAAAGACGGAAAGTGGAAATTTGGAAACGTAAGAAGGAGAGAAGGATTGGTGCATTATCAAATCGAGATGGACAATGGGCAGGTTTGGAGAAGGCACATTAACCACATTCGGCCGTGTAAATTTGAGGGGGAGGATTAATAAGGAGTTGTCATCAACATATGATTTCTTAACACACATGGTTTATGTTACCGGTATTGTTTCTATTGTTTATGTTTGTGTTTATATATTTTTCATTCAGTTAAAATAGTTGAATAAAATGGGTTGTACATTCTCTTGTATCTTGTTATTATATAATTTAAGGACTTGATAGTAGCTATTGTAACAACGCATTTGACTATGTTGGGTCAGCAACGAAAAATTTACTTGAGTGGTTTTGTAATATTTAAACTAAAATCATTGACAGTTAATTATCGACCTTAGAGTGGAGTCCAGAGAGGAGAGACTTTTAAGGTCACACTACTCAAAGTGTATTATCGCTACACTGAGATGCATTTATTGTCTTTTCCCTACACTACAAATGCTACATCACCTGTGTCATTAATTTAATGAAAACTTACAATATGCCACAAGTTTTAGCCCATAAATAGTTTCATAATTTCTATGGTAAATGATGCGTAGCTTTCATAGTCATTGTTGTTCCGTAACGGCGTTGTGAAAGTATTAAATAACTTAAGTACAGCTATTTGATTTATAGCTATAATTCGGAAGTATTTCCTACACAGTCTTAGCGTTTGAGCTTGAATTCACAATGATTTTTTAAATTCGTGAAATCAAAAGGGGGTTTTCGTAGATCCGTAACGTTAAAGTTACCATGTCATGTAAACTATAAATTATAACCAAATTATAGTTTATTAGATGGTAAGATATGACTAGATACTTCTGTTTGTTTTTTAAGTTTTGAATGTCAGGTATTAATGATTTTACCCTCTTTAGGTAGGTACCAAAAGTTGAGTTGTTCTAGTTGGATAAGAGCACAAGAACCTGAAATAATATTACCATCTTAGCTCATGAATATAGATGTTTTAATCTGCGATGCAAATGCAGAGAACTATGGAAGCCTACAACTAGGATAACAGATAAGTTAGCTAGCTGAGGGTTGGCGCGTTTGCTATGAGCAGCCCATCTGACGTATAACCAACTCACTAGTACCCTCTCTGAGTTTACACATTTTGTTATGCTAACGGAATTATTTACTCCTGACATGGAATCAGATGTTGTTGTGTTGTTGGTCATTTTATGTCTAAACAGCAATAAAGCAACAGTTACGTAGTTAATGGGTTTAGTTAGTTTTAAAGTTTGTCATTAATCTAGTTTGGTTGAATTGTATGCACCACTGTTTGATTTTTTTATTTTAGACGTTAGGAGATTGACATGACTAATGCAAATATGTACTTGTTATTTTGGTTGATAAAAGAGGGATTAAGTTACTGTACTCAAACAATTAATATACTTTGTTGTATTTTCTGGACACCCATCTATGGAGATATTAACTCCACCCCTCCCCCAGCCCACCACGATGAACTTGTGACTCATTGTATTCATAATGGTTGGTGTCAATCTTATGGACAGTGACTGCTCGTACTCGTCCATTCCAAGTACTTTCTCATAGCATTCAACTTATAATAACATATCATTATTTGTTACCACAATGAAAACATACAGTCTATATTGAGTCTTGCTTATAAATCGTCTAAATAAACAGCGTCTGTTGCATAGAATTAAAAGTTCTTCCTTTCTGGATATTGTGAAAATATGAAAATAATTTAAATATGCAAAATGAGGATATATATTAGTTTTAAAATTAGTGAGTGAAGTGACATTAAATTTGTTTGAAATTATTCAGTGAAACTAAAGATAAACTTTTCAAATGTTCCCTGTTTACATAATGAAATATTTATATTCATATTTTGGCATACATTATGGTGCCAAGTACTAAAAAGTGATATTTTATTTTATAGTGTAAAGCTATTGTGTAAATCCTACAGCAGTCATTGCAATTTCCGTATCCAATATTTCTATGTAAATATACGTGTAGACTGTTGTCACGTACATGTGACTGATTTTTTGTTAAAGATGGTCACACAACTAACTAGAAATGGGTAGAAATGCAGGCTTTACTGGACAAGGAGTTACGTTAAAGTACTGTTTACTGTAATGTATTTTTACACAAATTGTTCGGTGGCTAATTGTCATATAAAATGTCTTAGCTGTCTAAATGAAATATTTGAATGATACCACATTTACAATCAATTTAAAATCAATCACAATGTCCCACTCACTCGCAATCCCCAGCTTTATATAGTGATTAGTGTGTGTTTTGTCAAAGCCCCAAGAGTAATAAATAAATATCAACATGACAGTCAAATACCACACATTTGGTCGATTAAGATACAAATTATATATTGGCAAAAAACTGCATCAAAGGCTCTGGACATGATCTCCTTGTGCTGAATTTAATGCAACAGTTTATCCGCTCAGTTTTAGAATGCCTTAGTGTAGAAATCGTAGTATTAAAGTGTGAGTGATCCTTTATGATTGATTAAACTAACATTGCCGATTATATCAATTGTTTGATGGGGACGCCACTATATGTGCGTATTTCAACCTAAATATGAGTGAAGGATGAGTGTCACGAGCTTGTAGTCTTGTTAGTGACTAAGGCTGACATGTTCCTTGGACACAGCTGTTAATTAATACCATACAGCTAATGGAAACTGGGACCTACAGTTTATAGTGGAATGTGAACCACAATTTTCCTTGTAATTAACGAATTGGTCTAATTATCAGGATAGTAGTGCGAATAGTCGTAGTTAATGCACAAGTAGTGCACTAGTGCGAACGTTAATCCACACCAGGGAGCATCGCATCCGCAGTGCATGCCTATAAATATCCACAATTCGTGACCTCCTAGTAGCTGGATTACACGACGACGCCACCGTCCAGGTCAAATATCAAAACATTACATTAGTTACAAATATCATTGGTAAGTAAGGATTTTGTCGATTAAAATTGAACTTAATTAGAGGTTTGAACTGTGTAACGTTCTTTTGACTCGGTTGGTAAATGTCTTGTCCATCTCAAGCCAGATCGTACTAGTTTTGCTTTTAAATGTTTATGTTACCTTAACCTGTATGACAGAATGATTCATGAATTTTGATCAAAGTATATACATCAATAAAAAGGTTAATTTAGGCAGTGTTTAGCTAATAATAAAATAATCGTAAAATAATTAACATAATTTAAAACAGTTAAATTTTGTTCTAGAATAGAGTTGAAAGTGTGACAAATTTCATTCGGTTAAACAAAGATAAACATTTTATACACAAATAAATACAGACTAAATATTACGTTCTTAATTTAGAAGACAAAAACATGTTGTGACTCAATCCTTGTTTGAATAAGCTTACATAAAAAGTTAAACGATTCTCCGGGGATCGCAAACATCACGTGATATGAAAAGTTGTGTCTTGTGTAGTTTATTCTTAAAATTACATTAATTGTTAATTTCGTTAGAAAGGATAATCTGCCGTACCATATTGTACGATATATTCTATATATAGGTACAATATATTCTACCATATTATACTAGTTATTTAGTTTGAAAAAATATAATACAGTAGTTTTTAAAAATATATATTTTATTACAATAATATTTTTTGATATTATGTTAGAAAGCGTATTTATCTTTTTATCCTAGATTGGCCATCTATTGGGAATTATAAGCTATAATATTTTTGCACTCAAATCAATTATATATTTTCCTAAGATGCTGTAAGAACTATACTTTGTATCCTAGGGTTTAATTTACACTTTTAACTACCAAATAGATAAAAAATATCGGTTGAAAATAAAATGTTTATCTAGAACTATTAGAATATATAATAATTCGTGGTAATTTATTATAGTGCCTTAGTATTATATAGTACCTATGATTGAAATCAGTGACATAACCTATTCATAAGGTTTACTTATAGAAAGTAGTTTTTTTATTGTTGCAGTTAACACTATACTCTTTGCAGTTTTTAACAATGGAAGTGTGGTCTTACCACTCTTGTATCCATCTACGTTGTTTTTTTACTTGGAATTATTATATAACAGACATTGTCATTAAGGTTATTACAGGGAACATAATGAAGACATGAGATGATATAAATTGCCACAAATCGATAATGTCATCAAAGATAACAATTTGAAATAGATTGTAGTAATTATTGATACATGACTGTAAATAGCGTTTTAGTTATCATCGTGATTGCATGATGATTTAAGGAATACTTATAGAAAGACAAAGACAAGTTGTAATTGGGTAAGACCTTTGTTCATCGATTGTTTCTGCATTCTCTTGCAGACAATAAAACACAGCTCAGGCTAAGTATAGGATCTCTTTATTACGCTATCAGTGGTTGATGGTTGAGCATTCATTGCATTCGAGTAATTCGTTCCTACAGCAAATCACGTCGTTGTAAATGTTTCAGATTTAATTTTTTATACAAGAGTACTCTTTCATACCTATTAAAGTATATATTTGATTACCATGTAAGTATCAAGAACTGTTATGATTTTATTTACTAATTTAATATTTCTCCAAACTGTTGACCGAATGCGGAGGAGTTTTGTAGCACGAAGAAAGATTCTCATGAACTGATGAAAAAATATACAAATGTTTGATAAAAAAATAAAATTGTATTGAATACTTCAGCTTATTTTGTAATTAATTACAGACCCTGTAAAATGCTGGGCCCAATAAATGAAATCGTATTATGGTTTTCTAAAATTGACAAAATTACAATTAATTTATTCATCTATAACTAAAATTTACAGTTATTAAACTCGCATAATGATTTGGAATTTAAATCAGTGCTATTAATCCGTGATTTTTACATAATATTCTATGCTCTACTATGTCTTTTTCTGTGATTGTGGGTTTGTTTGTTCTACATGTTCTACAAATCTACATTAGGTATTTGGACTAAAATTGAATTTAAAGACTTGTACGTCTAAAAACTTGGTTGGCAAAAGCCACTACCTCGCACGTAAACTTGTATTATGCTATACAAATAATGTTAAAATAAAAAATAACACCGGCCTTTTAATAACCGGGAAAAAGTTAATCAAAAACTTGTAACATAACAATTCAT